CACCGACGTTATCTGCGCTATGTAGTTACCTTTCGTGTTGACGACCTTGTACTGTTGTAGTGTGCGCGTCGAAGGCTTGTTCCACTACCCCGAGAGAACAGGCACAGTGGCACAACTCACGTCTCAAAGCCCTCCAAATGTACTCACTAGAAAGAAGACGAGAGAGATATCAAATATTATACACCTGGAAGATACTGGACTGCCAGGTACCAAATCTACACAGCAAAATAACAACATACTGGAGTGAACGATATGGAAGAAAATGCAGAATAGAACCAGAGAAGAGCAGAGGTCAAGCCTGGCCTCGGGCCGGGCTTGGGGAGTAGAACAACTCCCCATCAACAAGTTATCAACCAACATGCTCAACTCACATACCAGTAAGAATAAAGAAGAAAGGATGAGCACTGGAACGAGAGCTGTGCTCTTTAGACGAACAAAACACTTCAAGGAACGACTCAACCGCCGCGCTCTCTGCCATAAACAATGAGGAAGACTCTGTAGGGAAATTGAAGTTATTGAGCTACAACTGCGAGAATCATATAAAACCCGGAGTTATCAAGAGGCCAGACGGCAAATTGACAGGGACCAAAAATACCTTTTCTATGCAATGTGTAGATCAAAAAGTAATATTATTGCACTTTGTGAACGAATGTTTTTCCCATTGAGGAACGGAAGCCTCGACTGAAGAAGGGAGAGTCATTACCAAGATCTCAATATACCTTTGTACACAGAACTCATTATTTTATATTCCTCTCATCACGTGGCTTGTCTCGTGGCACTAACGAGTGTTACAGGCACTGTGAGCCGTTGTCCAGAGTCGCAAATGTCATTCAGATGGCTCTAAATTCTCATCATTGCTAATGTGAAGGCAGTCCAGCATAAATTTAATATACAGCTGTGAAACTCTCCATAACGAAGTAATGCCTAGTTGACATTTTTAAAAGGTGCTGAGGCTAGAGAGGCATCTCTTAGCTGGTGATCTGTCCGGACGTATTCTCATCCCTTGAACCCTTATAGTTTATAATAGATGGGGAGAGGTAATTGAACTGAAGGAACCCCTCACATTCCTGCCTTGAAGATATTCACCACTTCCATCCATCTGCGTTCTTCATAGTGTCACACGAGTTTGTGGGTTAGTGTTAGACCAGTGATCAGTGTATTGTGGGTTAATGTTAGACCAGTGATCAGTGTATTGTGGGTTAATGTTAGACCAGTGATCAGCGTATTGTGGGCTAGTGTTAGACCAGTGATCAGTGTATTGTGGGCTAGTGTTAGACCAGTGATCAGTGTATTGTGGGCTAGTGTTAGACCAGTGATCAGTGTATTGTGGGTTAGTGTTAGGGTAATAATCAGGGGTGTGTGGGTTAGTGCTCGTTAGCAGCGTGAGTTAGAGTTTGCTATTAAACAAAGTATCGTTGTTCAATAATTGTTGCGAACAGTGTATTTTAGGTTAGTGTGGGTCCCCAAGGACAGTGCTGGGAGGTAGTGAGAAAGCAGTCAAGAGTGGGTCAATGGGCAAGAGTGTTTGTGACTTAGCAAATGTGAGTGGGGGGGGGAGTCGGCCAGGTCGGGGACCGGGCCCCGAGGACGTCGAGCCCCGAAATCAAAGCAAGGTAAGGTGCGTGAGCGCAGGGAAGGAGGATGTGTGTAAGAGGGAGAGTTAATCTAATGAAAGCATACAACCGGTCGAGAAGATGAGTAAACGAGAGAGAGTGAATAATTAAATGTGTGCGTGTGTGTGTGTGTGTGTGTGTGTGTGTGTGTGTGTGGGGGTAGGGTGGGAGAGGGTGGGGTGGGGAGGCAGGGGGGGGGGTGAGAGAGGTACAGGTCAACCTGGAGGAGGAAGTTGAGGAGGTGCGGCCGAAGAGGTGAGCTGCTGCTGTTGTTGTTGTTGTTGCCTTGGATACACACCACCGACCTCCTCCCTCACGGTGTGAGACGAGGCACGGGGAGCGGGAGAGCGAGAGACGCAGAGACATAGCGAGAGAGATAACAGAGAGCGAGGGGAGAGAGCGAGGGAGAGGGAGAGAGCTTACACTGCTGGCAACTACGACCTCTCAGCATCCTTCGGCGGATGGCTAGGGAAGAGTAAGGGGGGGGGGGGTTACTTAGAGGGGTCGTGTTACATAACACAGTCCGCGGGTGTCGCAGGTGGTGTGTTAGAACGCGTGCCACCTGCCCTCCACCACCTGCCCTCCACCACCTGCCCTCCACCACCTGCAATACCATTGCCACCAGATGTGAATGCAAGCGAGAGTGAGAGTTGCACAGTGACGGTGACAGGTGTGAATGTAAGGGAGAGTGAGAGTTGCACAGTGACGGTGACAGGTGTGAATGTAAGGGAGAGTGAGAGTTGCACAGTGACAGGTGTAAATGCAAGCGAGAGTGCAAGTCACTGAGGGCGCCACCTGCCCCGTGGCCGGGTCCACACAGCTGAGCAAGGCAGACACCAGACTGCCCCCCAAACAGGCTGCCCCCCAAACAGGCTGCCCCCCAAACAGGCTGCCCACCAAACAGGCTGCCCCCCAAACAGGCTGCCCACCAAACAGGCTGCCCACCAAACAGGCTGCCCACCAAACAGGATGCCCACCAAACAGGCTGCCCCCCAAACAGGCTGCCCCCCAAACAGGCTGCCCCCCAAACAGGCTGCCCACCAAACAGGCTGCCCACCAAACAGGCTGCCCACCAAACAGGCTGCCCACCAAACAGGCTGCCCACCAAACAGGCTGCCCACCAAACAGGCTGCCCCCCAAACAGGCTGCCCACCAAATAGGCTCCCCACCAAACAGGCTGCCCACCAAACAGGCTGCCCACCAAACAGGCTGCCCACCAAACAGGCGGGTCTCAGTGCCCTGGCAACGCTTCAGGTGCACCACTAATATTGCAAGCTCTCAGAGACGTTCGGTTGACTTTTATTAACCAATAATATTATGACATCGCTGCAACACACTCAAAGGAAAGACATAATTCGTTAATGGCGATGTTTGTTTGTTCAAAAAGCTGTGGAGTATTGGTTTCTTGGACCGCGGCGCTAGCATCAAGTCGGGCGCGCTCAACACACGACGTTATTTGGACGTTCCAATGACGCAACCATAATGCTGTGATTACGTTGTGACTGGTGAGCCTACTAGCATACGACTCAAGTGCCAGATGGCGCTACTTACCCCAGTAAGTCACAGGTGCCAGATGGCGCTACTTACCACAGTAAGTCACAGGTGCCAGATGGCGCTATTTACCACAGTAAGTCACAGGTGCCAGATGGCGCAACTTACCACAGTAAGTCACAGGTGCCAGATGGCGCAACTTACCACAGTAAGTCACAGGTGCCAGATGGCGCTACTTACTACAGTAAGTCACAGGTGCCAGATGGCGCTACTTACCACAGTAAGTCACAGGTGCCAGATGGCGCTACTTACTACAGTAAGTCACAGGTGCCAGATGGCGCTACTTACCACAGTAAGTCACAGGTGCCAGATGGCGCTACTTACCCCAGTAAGTCACAGGTGCCAGATGGCGCTACTTACCCCAGTAAGTCACAGGTGCCAGATGGCGCAACTTACCACAGTAAGTCACAGGTGCCAGATGGCGCAACTTACCACAGTAAGTCACAGGTGCCAGATGGCGCTACTTACCACAGTAAGTCACAGGTGCCAGATGGCGCTACTTACCACAGTAAGTCACAGGTGCCAGATGGCGCTACTTACCACAGTAATCACAGGTGCCAGATGGCGCTACTTACCCCAGTAAGTCACAGGTGCCAGATGGCGCTACTTACCCCAGTAAGTCACAGGTGCCAGATGGCGCTACTTACCACAGTAAGTCACAGGTGCCAGATGGCGCTACTTACTACAGTAAGTCACAGGCGCCAGATAGCGCTACTTACCACAGTAAGTCACAGGTGCCAGATGGCGCTACTTACCACAGTAATCACAGGTGCCAGATGGCGCTACTTACCCCAGTAAGTCACAGGTGCCAGATGGCGCTACTTACCCCAGTAAGTCACAGGTGCCAGATGGCGCAACTTACCACAGTAAGTCACAGGTGCCAGATGGCGCAACTTACCACAGTAAGTCACAGGTGCCAGATGGCGCTACTTACTACAGTAAGTCACAGGTGCCAGATGGCGCTACTTACCACAGTAAGTCACAGGTGCCAGATGGCGCTACTTACCACAGTAAGTCACAGGTGCCAGATGGCGCTACTTACCACAGTAATCACAGGTGCCAGATGGCGCTACTTACCCCAGTAAGTCACAGGTGCCAGATGGCGCTACTTACCCCAGTAAGTCACAGGTGCCAGATGGCGCTACTTACCACAGTAAGTCACAGGTGCCAGATGGCGCTACTTACCCCATCTATTATTTCATGTCTCCTATTTACCCAGTAGTTGGGTGTGAAGGCTGCCAGGAGATTTTGCAACAGTAATGCAAACGAGAAACAGTGAGAGAGAGAGAGAGAGAGAGAGAGAGAGAGAGAGAGAGAGAGAGAGAGAGAGAGAGAGAGAGAGAGCGGCCTGGGGAGTGTGTCTAACAGTCTTCAGATACAATGTTGTCATAGAAACCATATAGTCATAAGAAGATGTTTGAGAGGTTCAACTTTTTGGGCTTTAGGAGAACGAATTTGTCTTAGCCCTTTCTCTGTGTATAGTAAGTTTTTAAAGAGGGGGCGATTGAATTATAGAAGTTGTCTGTGATTTTTATTTAACTGAAAACAATAACGAGAGAACTACCCCATGAAACAATGTTGCTATACTTACGCGGGTGAAGGGCGCAAGTGCAGCATGATCGTCTTGAGTGCATGTATAGTGTGATGGCAGACAGGAGGCTCCCTGCACGCTATGATGTGAACCTGAAGTGTGGCATCAAAGATTGTGTGAGGGCCAGGAGCGTAGCGTAGTGCCTGGCTTGTGGCGTGGCCCGGGTAGGGGGCCCGCGCGTTGGCTGAGGTAGGTGGGTTGGCTGAGGCGGCGAGTCAGTGTGGTGTGGACCGTGGTGGAGGCAGGTGGGGGCCACGCTCTCTCCTGCTCAGGCTGACGTTGACATCCCCCCCCGCCCCTCACGGATATAAACCCGCCCACCTCTCTCCTACGTTTTACCTCCATCTGGATTTATCAGTGCGGGGTTTAACCCTGTGTAGTTAATCTGGAGGATGCTAGTGACTAGATCGGACTGTGTAGTGGTTAGATAGTGAGCCAGTTTACCCAGTGGGGTGGTCAGTCAGTGGTGACCGCTGTCTTGCCAGCATCTCATCAACATATCACCTTGTACCTGACCATCTGCACCTCACCGTCGTAAGTGCAGTTTCTGACCCATAGTGTGCATTGAAATACTAGTGATTACCATGTAGCAGTGATGGTTGTGTGTTGTGGCAGTGGGGAGCAAGGCCGGCAGTGTGCGTACAGCAGCTAACGCCTCCCACCACAAGTGCACACAGTGCAAGTGGCTTGCACACTTTTTGCCGCACCCACATTGTTTTTGACCCCCAAGTCACTGAAAGGACTTGAGAAGCACCGGGAAAGTGTCAACTAGTGTGCTCAGTGTGACCATCAGGGCTGTGTTATACATATCAGTATGCCGAGTGAGTTCTTCGGTGAAGATGAAGGGTGTCCCAGGAAGTGGTAAAAGCTTATATGGCTTAGAAGAGAACAAGTGTTCACGAAGAACAGTTCACGAGTTGTGCGAGAAACGAGCATGATGTGTTTTTAATAAGTTATTTTCTGGGTTAAATATGTGTGGCGTTAGTTGTGGAGATGAGTGAGTTGACCTGGGCGGGCGTGGGCGGTGCGCGGCCATGAAGCCCCTGAGTCTGGAGGGTCTCCGGCGGCTGGTGCGGGGCGGCCGGGACAAGCAAGGGCAGCAGCAGACTGACACTCACCACTTCCGCCGCTCCAGCTCCTTCAAGAGGGCCTCCCTCAGGCGATCTGCCCGCCGGCATGAGAAAATTACTCTTCCTAATGGTTTGGTGGTGAAAACTTCTGCTCTTCAACGAAAGTCTTCGGTGTCCAGCGACGAGCGACGGGACGATGGTTACTCTACTGACGGCGGCGACGCTGGCGGGTACGGCACGGCCTCGACAGGCTTTCCTCGTCGTGTCATTACTTACGACGAGTGGAGGGTGGCGGTAAGCGACGAGGACTCCCTCAAGCACACAGACGAGTCCCTCCCATCTACTCTCTCAACAAATAAACTGTCGTCGTTAGACTCTGGAGTTCGTCACTCCCTCGACTCCAAGAAGAAGTTCAGCATCGAGTCAACGAAGCGATTAAGTTTAGACCGTCGCAAGACCTTGGGTGTAGACATCGGCCATCACCTGAGCAGCTGTGGGTCTCCGCTACTAGCGCGAGACCCCCGTCGGGGCCTCGATGCCCCTAATTTCCGCCGCAGTGTGTCCGCCGAGTCTCCAGTACCACCGTTGAGGATAAAAAGCCTCTTGGGGTCTCCTCGCATAGCCCCCAAGACCCGAGAACCCCCCACCACACCAGCTCGCTCCTTGCACAACACACCCAGTAGAACACGATCATGCTACCCGGTATCGGCGCCGCCTACGCCAGGAAAGACACATGTGCAGCATGTGGCCGGGCCCCTCACACCCACACACCAGCTGCGGGCGTCGTGGCACGAGCGGGAGACCCGTCGGTGTGCCGTGCACATTCCACCTGGTTCACCAAAGTTAGTTCCAGAAGTAAAACCTCAGGGAAGCCCCAAACCCCAGAGTCGGTGGTCGGCTCTGTTCTCCGGCAGCTTCTTCTCTCGGTCCCCCAGCAGGAAGAACCAGCAACAGATTGAGGCTCAGCAACAGCTGGAAGAACAGCGGCGTCAGCAAGAACAACTTGAACTAGAGAAGCAGCACCACCATTACTTGTGTAACAGCCAAGTGTGTGGTGGTTCCCCGATGCTGGTGAGACAGAGATCAGTACACTCGTGCGAGTCTCCGTCCTTATTGCGACATTCAGGAGCCTATAGTGTGCACCCCAGCGGCCCTGTGAGTCTCGGGGGTTATGGCGTGGCCAGGGCCCAAGGTGGGCCTCGGCCTCGGAATGACCTCAACACCAGTGGTCCTCGAAGTCTTGGTGTACCTCCCGGCTACGGAAGCCCGTCTGCCATACCCCGGCATCTCGTCCTCGAGTCCTCGCCTATTCCGCGACAGAAAACTTATGAGTCAGGAACACTTGGTCGTCAGATTTCACATGATTCTTCAGTAATTGGCCACCGCTTGTCTCATGACTCAGGACTGATAAATCGACAAGTTTCCCACGATTCCGTACCAATTTGTCGTCAAATTTCTAATGAAACCATGCCCATGTGTCGTCAAATCTCCCATGACAGCGGACCCATGAGTCGTCAGATCTCCCATGACAGCGGACCCATGAGTCGTCAGATCTCCCATGACAGCGGACCCATGAGTCGTCAGATCTCCCATGACAGCGGACCCGTGAGTCGTCAAATCTCCCATGACAGTGGACCCATGAGTCGCCAAATCTCCCATGACACTGGACCCATGAGTCGTCAAATTTCTCATGATAGTGGGCCTATGAGTCGCCAAATTTCTCATGACAATGGACCCATGAGTCGCCAAATTTCTCATGACAGTGGACCTATGAGTCGCCAAATTTCTCATGACAGTGGACCTATGAGTCGCCAAGTTTCTCATGACAGTGGACCTATGAGTCGCCAAATTTCTCATGACAGTGGACCTATGAGTCGCCAAATTTCTCATGACAGTGGACCTATGAGTCGCCAAATTTCTCATGACAGTGGACCTATGAGTCGCCAAATCTCCCATGACAGTGGACCTATGAGTCGCCAAATCTCCCATGACAGTGGACCCATGAGTCGCCAAATCTCCCATGACAGTGGACCTATGAGTCGCCAGATTTCTCACGATAGTGGACCAATGAGTCGCCAAATACATGATTCTGGACAGATGAATCGTCTAATTTCTCATGATACAGTGCCTGTGAGTCGCCACATGCCTCACGATACAGTACCGATGAGCTGCCTCACTTCTGAGAGTGGACCCATGACTCACCACTATTACGAGCCCGTGCCTCTAACCCGGCACCTGTCACACGAGCCTCCAGCACCAAGCTCGCCTGCCTTGCTGCAGAGGCACCGTTCCATACCTCCCTCTGGACTGCATTCGCCAGTGTTTCGGCCACGTCCCCACTCCTCTCCGGCTACAACACACTCTCTTAAGGCCCTTCAAGTGCTAGGTGAAGCCGCAAGTGTGGTCAACTCTTCCCAGTTTTACCCTGGAAGGCTTTCCAGCACCTGCTTTGGTAGTGGCATGCCTTCTGCCTCGACAATAGCATATCGTCCCTCATCGAGTGACCGCACGTCCTCTCGTACAAGCTCCCAGGAGCGCCCCGTTCCGCCCATCCCGCCCATTCCACCCGTCCCAACCCACCGCCCACGGACGCCCGTGTCCATGATTCGCCACGCCGTCCACCCTGGCCGCCCTTTGTCGTTGGCCATGTCTGCAGCCCCTCCTTGTCCAGACCTTATTAGCCCTGCTAGTGTAACAAGTGAGGCATCCAGCCGGGCCGGAAGGAGGAGGCGAGGGCCGGGTCTTCTTGTCGGTCGAGCCAGCTGGCTTTCCAGAGCTGCTTCAGGAAGAAAATCATCACGAAAAGTCCGGCGGACGAAGAAGGCAGGGCAACAGCTTCAGCGTCAAGAAGGCTTTCAGAGTGAAGAGCTTGATGAGCGAGTCCCTGGCCGGGCCGGACGGGCTCTTGGTCCTGAGGCTTACCAGGTATTAAGAGACCGTCAATCTCCAGTGCCTCAACTCAACCCTATGGTGTTTGTTCCTCCCCAGCGACGTCGTTCCTCAGGTGCTATCAAGATCCAACACACGCTCCTCCGTCGTCTAGATGTCCCAGAAATCCGTACTGCTCACGCTCATCTCCTCATGCCCCTAAACCAGCCTGTTGGCTCTCACATGGTCGACGGAAGAAGTCAGAAAGCTGCTCAGCTGGTTCGCTCTATGTTAGAAGAAGATGAGCAAGAGGGAAATGATGATGGTGAGGGTGTAAGGGACACAGCCAGTGAACCAGGAGGTGCCAAGTTCAGTGTCAAGCCTGGTAAAAAGCCCAAATCAGAGCCTAGCACTGCACGCCTCAATTTGCGAGTAGCTAAAAACCCAGAGCTTATTCTGCGGGCATTGGGTGTCATTGCAAAACTCGGCAAATCTAAGCCGGAGCAAGGTCACGAACAGCTGCCAAACGAGGCAGCCAACGAAAGGATTATCACCCAGTTACTCCTGCAGGATCTGACACAGGACAAGTCTGGGCAAGGGTCGCTAGTGGGGAGTGCCGAGTCGCTGGTGGAGTCGATGGTGAGCAGCCGGGGAAGTAATGGAACAACAAAGCCCATCCGTCGGGTGCGAAGGAAAAAGTCTCAAAAACGTCAGCCAACAGTTCCAGCCTACCCGTCCTGGAAGCGCACCCCCAGACTACGCTCTCCGCGAGGGAACAATGGTGAGTGTTGCCACAGTTGGTGTAGTAGTAGTAGTATGGTCCATATATTGTGGCGTCTTCCCATTGTTCTAGCCTCACCAAACACTGGAACTTCCTCCCCTTTTCAGTGTCACCATACATTGTGCTGCATCACCCTCCTTTCAGCATCATCATACACAGTAACATCCACCTTCCAACATCACTATACACTGGAACCCCCCCCCCACCTTCCAGTGTCACGTCTCCAGCATTAATGGATAATCCCCCAACTTTCAGCATCACTAGAACACCCCCATCTTCCAGGATCATCATGCTTCTCATTCAGTGGTTCCTGGCGGGCCATCGAATTAGACCCTGAGTATCGTTGCTGACGAGACTCCGGACCTCGTCAGCAACGAGATAAAAGCTACTTGAGGCTTCGTAGAGCCATATGGGTTACCGCCAGCTGGTACTTTGTCGTGCACAACGCTACAGGACTTTATTTATGCTTATTCTGAAGCATGTCTCGATATTTTCTCTCTCTCTCTCTCTCTCTCTCTCTCTCTCTCTCTCTCTCTCTCTCTCTCTCTCTCTCTCTCTCTCTCTCTCTCTCTCTCTCTCTCTCTCTCTCTCTCTCTCTCTCTCTCTCTCTCTCTCTCTCTCTCTCTCGTATGTGTATGAGTGAGAAAGACTCATCGAAATGGAATTGGCATCAGAATAAAAAGAGGACGTGGATATGGATGCGGTGAGAGTCGCAAGCCCAGACATCATAATGGTTACTTGAAGAGGCAGCAGAAGCACTGTGTAGACGCCAGAGGCACATATGATAACGTCAGCAACACACTCTAAACTGCTGGCGAATGTCAGAACAGCCATCAAGACAATCAATACGGAAGCATTCAGAACATGTTCTTAGAGTATGCCGTCTCGTCATGGAGCCCCCACCTCAAGGAGCACATAAAGTAACTTCGAAAAGTACAAAGATTTGCAAAGAGGCTCGTCTCAAAGTTGCATGGAATAGGACACAAGAAAGGCTGAAGTGCTGGATGTTACAATGCTGAGAGAGAGAGAGAGAGAGAGAGAGAGAGAGAGAGAGAGAGAGAGAGAGAGAGAGAGAGAGAGAGCGATGGATGTACTTACGGGTACATCGTTAGAGTGAAACAAAATAGGAAATGTTAACAATGAATACGAGGACAGGAAGAGAGCCTGGGTAGAAGGTAAGGCACAGAGGAGCCATAGAGACGTGAGACATCTCCCGGTGGTGTTAGAGAAGTGGGTAAATAGGGTGATATAGACGAGCTGCTGATAGAGCAACAACACTTTTACAAGTAGAAAATTAGGTCGATAATTATTACATTAGGTGACCGTCGACTGGAATGGTGGGGGTCCAAGAGCTGAAACTCGAGCTTGCTAGCATAAATAGGTACTTACACCCACAAACACTCAAATGAGCCACAGAGACGTTAGAAAGAACTTTTCAGCGTCGGAGTAGTTAGTAAATGGAATGCATTAGGAAGTGATGTGGTGGAGGTTGACTCCATACACAGTTTCAAATGTAGATATGATAGAGACCAGTAGGCTCAGGAATCTGTACACCAGTTGATTGACAGTTGAGAGGCGGGACCAAAGAGCCAGAGCTCAACCCCCGCAAGCACAACTCGGTGAATACACACAATATACATATATATAAATATGTTTACCATTTCCTGGGTTATAACTTATCGTCGTTAGATCAAATGAAATAATTTAAGTTACCCTGCATCTGGCCTCATTAGGGGATTTCCACCCACAAAGATAATTTAAAGTGAAGGTTTAAATATTCATGAATGGGAACGGAAACCACGAACAAGCTAATTTATAGCCGGCGACCAGATTAATGAAATGTCTGCTGCCCCTAGAGTGCTTTGTCGTGACATTTACTGTCCTCCCCCGTCACTGTCCTCCACCGTCACTGTCCTCCACTGTCACTGTCCTTCACTGTCCACCACTGTCACTGTCCTCCACTGTCACTGTCCTCCACTGTCACTGTCCTCCACTGTCACTGTCCTCCTCTGTCACTGTCCTCCTCTGTCACTGTCCTCCTCTGTCACTGTCCTCCTCTGTCACTGTCCTCCACCGTCACTGTCCTCCACCGTCACTGTCCTCCACAGTCACTGTCCTCCACCGTCACTGTCCTCCACTGTCACTGTCCTTCACTGTCCACCACTGTCACTGTCCTCCACTGTCACTGTCCTCCACTGTCACTGTCCTCCTCTGTCACTGTCCTCCACTGTCACTGTCCTCCTCTGTCACTGTCCTCCACTGTCACTGTCCTCCACCGTCACTGTCCTCCACAGTCACTGTCCTTCACTGTCTCTGTCCTTCACTGTCACTGTCCTCCACCGTCACTGTCCTCCACCGTCACTGTCCTCCACCGTCACTGTCCACCACTGACATTTGTGACAGGCACCGTCTCCCACTGTCACTCTTGATAAGCTATCGTCACACAAAGCAGCTCCTCTGATGACTAATACATTAGCTTTATTGGTTAAAAAATAAACAAAAATGGCATAATCTGAAATTCGTGGCGAATTTATAATTAATTATAAATATAATATCAATTATAAACTGAAAGATGGCATGCAGTGTTTGTGAGAGTATTGCTTGATGATGAACGCGGAGCAGAAGGCAACTTCCCCTGATTACATGGAGCGCTGTCGCTGCCCTGCATATTTTAATTAGTGACATAGCCAGCGCCTCGCCCTAGATTGGCAGCGGGGAGGCCTGACAGGTTCACTCTGCCATAATCTGGTTGACGACACAGTGGTTGGGGCAGGGGAGGGGGGGGGGGACCGGATGGTATACCTAGAGTGAATTCCGGGAGGTCTTCTACTCACACTGCTCTGCCTGGGGCCAGGCTTGACTTATGATAACTTGGTCCAACAGGCTGTTGCTTGGAGCGGCCCGCAGGTCCGCATATCCACTACAGCCTGGTTGGTCCGGCACTTCTTGCAGGAAGGTGTCTAATTTCTCCCTTGAACACTTCCACTTTCGTTTTGGCAATATTTCTTTGTTTACTGGGTATTGAACAGCCGCGGACCTCTGATGTTCATACGATGCTCTCTGCTGTGCCTATGGCACCTCTAGTCTCCTTGTTCAATTCTTCATTTTCTACCATATCGTTCGCTTCAGTGTGTGTTCTTATTTTACCGTTCAAATTTGGGACCTGGTCTCCCATATCTTCCAAGTATATATTGTGCGATACCGCTCTTGTCTCCTTTCTACTCTAAAAAGAGAGTATATTTTGAGAACTTTGAGACGGTCCCAATAATGAAATGTCATTATTATTTAAGTTACTGTTTAACTTAAGTGCTAAGTTATTATTTAATTTAAATGTTTTTCATGTCAATGTGTGCCATACATGTTCTCTGCATTCCCCCTATTTCAGAAATCTCTCCTGCTTGGAAAGGGGCGAGTTTGTGCCGATAATTACTCAAAGAGGAAAATCACGAGTGGTTTGAATAATATGACCATTGTAGTGGAATTTCTATTATTACATTATTCAAATTATATTCGCGTATTGAGTGTTCTCATTAGTGTTATTTATTCAGAGTATCTCTACTGACAACAGCAGGCACAATAAAATATATATATGAATTGTTTGGCTACACGTTCCTTGTTCTGGTGCAGCCAGCTACCTTGAGGTTACCTTGAGGTGTTTTCGGGGCTTAGCTTCCCCGCGGCCCGGTCGTCGACCAGGCCTCCTGGTTGCTGGACTGCTCAACCAGGCTGTTGGACGCGACTGCTCGCAGCTTGACGAGCTACAGCAGCCTACTTACGTACTGAGGAGCAAAGTTGTTCACTCACTGCTGGAGCCGGAGTGGCAGGAGCATACAGCCCGCCCTCATAAAGGTCAAATGCTCGTTAATCCTGCCGTAAAATGTTAATGTAAAATAACATTAATTTGTATATGTGAACAAACCTATTTTTAATACATTGTTAAAATTGATGAATGCGTCAGGGGAGGACGGCCGCAGCTTTAACTAGCCTGGCCTGAGAACGAGTTGAAACATACGTTCGGCAAGGTTTCGGTTTCGCTTCTTTCAGGTCTGAGCTCGATTCCCGATGGACCAAGTGTCTAGACACCATTCCAAGCCTCCGTCCGTCCTACTCTAGCTCCTTGTCCTCATAGTCCACCAAGTGCTATAGTCATACTGGCTTGCCACTTCCTCCTCATAAATGCTTTTACCTCACTGCTGGACGTGCAACCCGTCCTCGACTCAAGTCCATTACATTCAGCGGTCGACCCCACAGACGCATTCATAAATTTTAACATGCTGTTCATTCAAAACGGGAATTTTCTCAAGTATAAATTAATATTATAATATATTGGCATATTGTGTATATATAGGCATAGATTAGGTTAGGTCAGGTGTTTAGGTTCTGTTGGCGATTATTTGTATTTGTAGTACGTGGGTGAAGCATTTATAGTGTTGTGATTCGAACAAAATTCGTCAGTGAAGCACTTGTTCCGGAAGTGTTCGAACGTCAGCAGTTGTGAGTCGTGTGTAAACCACTTTTCATTCATAAACAGGGGGTTTGGCGGGTGCATGGAATCACTTTTGGATCTTTTTTTGGAGGACGGGCTGGGACGCCAGAAACACCAAAACACCTCATTTCGTTTTGAGTGAACGGGACCCGAGTGGGAGATGGCCGCGTACCCCCGTGAAAGATGGCCAGGTCATATGGTTGTTGGACGGACCTCTCACAAGTGAAGCCTGGCCTCGGGCGGCCGGGACGTGTGAGGCAGAACTCCCAGAACCCCGTCCAGGACAGCAGGACTTATCGACCTGTCACCCCAGGATCATTCGCAGCAGGACAAGTGACCACGTGACCAGCGGCCGGGGCCTCTGAGTAGGGGGACCAACATCCCCAGCAACTGTGTTGAGTACAGCACACGAGTGCTCCTGCGGGGGACGGTGGCGGGGAATGGGTAAAGTGACGCCAAAGACAACCCCCCCCCCCCCTCCCAAACAAATAATAGAAAATGTGTAATATGAGGC